CTATAAACTGAATTTAAAGTAATAGATCTAAGTTCAAATAAACAAGTTAATTCTTTAAACACCAAGAGACAATAAACTAATTTTTAAATTGTACTTATTTAATAAAATAATATATTTATCCTGTTTTACGATTTACCAGTAACTTGAAATATACCTAAGCCTAAAATACTTTTACACGTACTAAGCCTATTTTAACGTTGTAGTAACAATTTACACCACTAAACTCTAACTTAAAACTTTGACCATCTTACTTTTATTTACCAATCATATTATATTTAGTTATTATTGTGTTATTTAACCCAAATTACTACAAATTATAATACTAACATTAAATAACTTTCAGAATTCTATAAGAGCTTAACTTTTCAACGTCTTCCCTCTTCAGTCACAACCTTAATGCCAGAAAGTATAAATAAATACTGTAGACATACTTCATCTTGCTTTTACCATGCACTACATGCTAAGTGCTCTGCCCCACAAGATACCGAGCAAAATATCCTGCCATTCCCTATGGGTTGAGGATGCAATGACATTTGGATTATTATGTCCACAAACTTGCTTATTACCAATGTGGCAGCATTCATTAGTAGAAAACTTCAAACACCAGAGGATGTGAATGCATACTTTTGTTTTCACAATTCCACTCAACTAATTCCTGCTTCAACAGTACATTAATTCACATTCAGATGATGACTGTCATTCACAATTAGTAAATCCTGCTACTGAGTGAGAGTTTGTTGTTATAATTGCCTGGGAACTAATTGAATGTTTGGTATTTATTGATGTAAACTATACTTTAGATATCTTAGGCCAGTTTAATTGCAACACCTGTTTTTAGCCATTTTACTTAAATACTTTTGAACAGAGCAAAACTTATAAAAACCGTATATGCTATTAGTTATGAGAGAGCATATTCATAACTCAATGAGATAGTTGTGCATGTAAAAAAAACCTGTGACATGTGATAATAACTCTTTTTTGTGTTATATTTCTCACCTTCTACATCACTTGCAATGTTTAAACAAGTATATTTCCATTTTTTCCTTGCAAAAGAAAAACAACTTATTACTGAATCTAACACATTACAATTATACGTCTTAGGGTTGCAACATGGGAGAAAAATAACAACAATATAATAATTTGCAATGAGAATATTTATAAGAACCATGTTAAAACAACAGTAAAATGTATAGATAAACTGAAGTATTTTTATGATTAGCAAATCTTAATATTACCAATAACAATGTTCCCTGTAAGCTGCGCAGCCACCAACAACCAATCAAGTGCCTTGCACTTCAATACCCAGTCGTGCACATCCTCAGTAATGGTGAAGAGTCTCCACACATTGATGGCCTTAATGACCCTGGCAGTCAATAGGCCTAAAGCCTAAGTAACCAACTGGTAGCATTGCAAAGTGGCCTAATCATCCAATAGGGTCAAAGGTCTAAAAATTCCCCCATCCCTAAAAACACTGGTAGTGCACATTATCTTGATACTGGTGCAGATAAAAAAAAAAATCATTCTGCACATTGATTGAAAAAATTAGAGGGAACATTGAACACAACATACATTGACACTTTAAACACAGAAACTAATATTGTCACACACACACACACACATAAGTGATGGATTTTTGAAAGATTCAATATCCATAGACAATTAAATTACATATAAAATAGATTTTACAACTTACTATTTACTGTTCTAAATTTTAGGAAAAATAGCTATGAACTTATTTCAAAAATTATCTATATACATGTATAATAATTGAAATGTGACTGTATTTTACAAAATACTAGTCTACTAAAACACAGTCAAGACAAGTTACTTTGTACAGACCAAAGGTCAGTTTTATGTTCTTTGATACAGTAATATGAGTGCACATGAGCCAATTCATTGTAACTTCTGTATTGTTAGCCAGGAACAGCTGAAAGGTCAATATAATAAAAATAAGGTCAATATCATGAAAAACAGCCCTGCTAAAAAGACAACAGATCTACAGCAAGTGAACGTCATTTACGAGTATAAATGTAATAA